CCATCTCCTCTTTACTTGAAACGTCTCTTTAAAAACAAGACAAAAATTTTAAACATCAAATAAACACTTTTGTTGGACTAATAGCCAACTTGTTAGCCGTCTCCTCTCCTTTAAGACATCCTGGAGGCTCAGTGCCATGCCACATACAAGGAAACCCATGAGTCATGTCAGGAACTGAATACAGAATCTGCAGCATCATTAAAAGAACCGAGAGGGAGGAGAGAGATCACCAGGAAGTTTAGCAAACAAATTGATGAAAAGTGAGGAAGAAAATGCTTCCAAAATCATAAATGGTTGATGATTTCTGAGTGGTTTGGGGTAGAATAGTTATATCTTCATTATTTCTAAGACTAACAGAAATATATCACTATCATTACTACAGTGATATTGAATATGTAACCTGCATTTAAATATATGATGGTGAGAGGTTTCATTACCATTTCTAGGGATCAGGAGGCTGTACCACTCCCATTATTCAATGTTTATTCAAAAAGTTGGAAATGTGTAATTGTGGCGTTAGGCTTACCTGCTGAAATGACATGGGCATGAATATTGAGTATTACTTGACTTACAAAAGCCAACTATTCAGTTGCTTCAAGGGATGTATCTAGAATATTTTAAAAAGGTAATAACATCAAGGTAGTCTCTTTCAGACAAAATGTCTAAAACAAGCAGCAGACCCTAAAGACTTGGTAACACTGAGGCAGACAGATTGCAGGGCTGATATACCAATGTTCTGTTACACTTCTTGTCAATCAGCAGGTACAATAAGCTCACTCATCCTCCCTGCTGATCCTATCTCTTTTACATCATTCGCCAATTTAATGATTATCAAAATCTATTGAATTCTGATTTTCATGATTTTCTGTTCCAAGCTATGATGGCAATTTCTGAACTTAGGAAGAGTTCTGCTAGTCAAGTATAAATTCAATTTGTCCAGACCTAAGCATGCTATCTGGGGAACTTAGTAAGCCAAACCTGCTTATCTTTTATGGCTCAAAAGGATACACAGTCTATAATTTTCTTGAAAGGTTGTTCATTATCATCATGCAGTTACTCCATTACTAAATATGCTCTGAAATATGCCTAATTTTAAATCAGTCCAGGGGAGAGTGATAGTAATGCAACCAATCTGTAATACGAAAGCAAGAAAGAGGTAGCTAAGGGACCAGAACTGAGCCTGTGTATTGGAACCCATGGTTAAATCTCATGATCCGCTGGGCCTCTGCAATTTGGCATCCATGCAAAGGCCAATAATCTTTAGCCACATACATTCAGTAGAGCTTGGACTGGTTCCTCTTTATATGACAAACTATCAGAGCGGTCTACAAGCTTTGTGTTACTATAAGATATATCGTGGAAGCTTTTTTTTCTAGTGCTGAAGGCATGGAGGCTATTGCAAAACACTAGAATCATTTCCAATCCAGATAATGGATTGCTTACCTTTACTTTCCAAGATTGTTGGCCTTCACCTGACACTAAAGGCAACTGTAAGCATAAACCACTTCATTTCTTTTTCACTTAGAGCATCTTGCAATTTGACTTTCTAGGCAGTTCTGTGTGAGTGGTGTATATATTTACATAGTGAGTTCACTAAGGTAGAGAAGATTTAAAGACACAATTGTAGAGAGAAGAAAAAGCAAATACATTCACGAGTATTGTAAATAATCTGCACAGGCTAAGAACAATATCAGAAATTAAGAAAATATGCTGCTTGAAGACTATGGCAGGTGTGCATCCAGAGGATTTACCCCCAGTTCAGAAATTTGATTCATACAGTGATGTTTTTATTTATTTCAAGTGTACCCCCACGGTTACTGGCCGGATTAATAGAAGTTAGTCTAAGAAGGGTGAGGTCACTTCATAAACAATTACCACGTAAGTTCTTGTATCCCATGGGATATTGCTGGATAATGCTGTACAATACAAATTGCTGCAACAAGTTAAAATCATTGTTCAACAATTCAAGCAAATGAGAATGAACCTGCTCACAGAAGGGGCTGATGGGGGGGCTCTGCCCCTAACACCCCACCCCCAGGGCAAACATTATCTTCACCTCAGTAAGCACATGAGAGTTGAAACTCCGGAGCAATGAGTGATGCATTCTACTACTACTTTTTTTTTTTTTTTTTTTGCATTACCATTTGTGCCTACGGATTATTTGTTATACCAATGACTTCCAATCTTTATCAACTATAATATCATTTACAATTTACCATAGCTTAAAGTTCCTATTACTGCATTTATTTCAGTACAAGATCAACACTGACAATGAAATAATATGTACTATAATAAATTTTGTCTCCCTACCCAAATCCTGTATTTCCACCAGGTCCCCTAAGTTTGTGGGATATGAAAGTGAGGGACTTCTAAAAGGAAAACTGAAAGTTTGCACAGAATGTGAAAGCTGTATTCATTCTGGCCACATCAAACCATAAGAGTAATTCTCTACCTCCTCTGTGAATGTCATGCTATCACAGATGAAAAGTTAGCACTTGTAGACTTCCATGGTAATTCATTGTTAAATATGAAACTGTCCACGTTGTATATATCTAGAACTTATATTGCACTTTACCAGAGCCTAAGGCACAGAGGTAAACCCATGATACAATCATAATATGAGGTATAACAGGCAACTTGATATGCACTCAAGTGAGGGTTTGGGGAACAAATACCAGTTAATCTTTCTGATATGGACCCCTTAAGCTAGGGCAAATTGAAGATGATGTTCTTGTAGAGGACCAAAAGTTGCACTCATTAGTACCAAACATAATCTGTATAAGACATGACCAGTAACACTAAAATTCAAGAAGAAGAAGAAGAAGAAGAAAAATACATGGAAAGTACCGCTCACAGTCTAAGCCAGGGCTCAAAAGTTTCAGCATCATCTTGCCATGTAAAATGAAGTGAAGACAAAGTATCCCAAAGGAAGAAAGAGGGTAGAGCCCTCTTAAACTCTCCCACTGGGCAGCGCTCAAAGGCAAATCTAAGCAAATCAGACTGTTGAATTAATTTATAATGGCACCCAGCATTTAATCTCTGGCAAGTGTGTCCATATCATAAAGTACTCAAACAGCTCCCCCCCCCCCCCACAATTAAAAATTGTTGACAGTGAAACATGATTTCCAATTAGAATAGGTAAATGTTTACAGTACAAATGCACTCACCAGAACCTAGGTCCCCAGCTCGATGTCAAAAAATCTATTCAACAATGTAAGTTGCCACGACTGGGTGCCCCAAGGAAGGATTCATGAGAGGTTCTGCCCCCTAATACTCCCTATGAAACGTCTTCACCTAGGTATGAGTAGCAAGATAAGAGTTGAAACACGGGAGTACTAAGTGGACTATGAGCAACCTTCTGCCTTTATTTGTGGATTTACCATTTGTGCCTGTAGATTAATTCTTGTACCGATGACTACAAATTTTTGTCCTTTAGAAGAATACCTTCACACAACCGATCACAACAATTGTGGTATCGATAATTCCTCTCACTTTCTACTACCCATATATACAGAAATTATACTGCGGAAACCCCCAAATACTAATGATCTTGACCCTGATAGCAGGGAGAGCATGAATGGTACCAGGGATATTATGGGGTAAAATATCCAGCACACATGTACAGCAGGAAAAAGAAAAGGAGAGACTCGCCACGGGGCACTCCTGTATGGGGGGGGGGGGTTGTATTAGAAAATGTATTGATTTATTCTATGTAGACATATTATCATGGTAATTCTTTTGTTTCACACAGCCATCCAACCTTATAACTTTTATTCCTTGTTTTAATAAGATGTGTAAAACTGTTGTTTTTCTTCTCAAATGATATAAATAAAAGTACTGATAACAATATACAAAGTGCCCTCACCCCTCTGAGACTTTGTTCCTATTACTCCAGCCACTCTTGGTAATCAAAATTTTCATGTGAACCCCAAAAACTTTCTAACCCAGGGGTTTTGCCCCCCCCCCCCTTCCTTCTGATCACCATATTTTCCTATTGGGGACTCCATCAACAGACCCTACTTGGTTGTCGTGGACTCATTCTCTGTATAGCATTAGTCCCAATCTTTTGTCTTCATTTCTGGTGTTATCATCTTCCTGCACAGATTATTTCATATGTATCATTGAGTGTTTCTATCCCTTTCTCCAAGACAGTGTCATTGCATTTTCCTGTATATGTATGCCAAACTATTGTGTTGGAAAACTTTCTCATCAACATGAAAAAAAAAAAAAAAAAAAAAAAAAAAAAAAAAAAAACAGATTTTCTGTCATTCTATCCATTACAGGTAAATTTTACTTTGTACCATATGCTGTGGGTAACAAACTATATTATCACTGCTGTGGGGAACTGAAACTATATTATCATATCACCATATTACACATATACTCTTAAATATCCATGGTACCTTTCATACCCTTCCCTGTTATCAGACCAAGAATGGGGGCAAAAAATAACCTATAAAGCATAAGGAATATATGTTACTTTACAGAATAGTTCCACAATATGGATCGCGATGATTTTGGTATCAATGGATTCCTCTCACTCTCTAGTATCCAAACTTGAAAATAATATTGCATGGAAACCCACCCACTCTTGGCCCCATTCCAGGGGAGGGCATTAAAGGTCCCATGGAAGTGCGGGTTAAATATGAATAATATTTACAGAATCAGTTACTATATTGTCTAATGCAGGGGGCTGTACCCCAACATACAATGAACAAAAATCCTTAAAGTATTCACAGCAGTACAGAGCATATGACTGACATGTGGGAGTGCTCGATGATGAGTCTGTCTAATGCTCTCTTCTGCTGTGAATTTGTGGAGGATTCTTTGCTTTCCTAGGCAGGAGTTGAAGGTGGTAGTCCTCCGTGGGGAGGTTGCAGGGGGCATAGCCTCCTTGCATTAGACCATAAGGTAACTGATTCTGTGTATATTGATGTTAAGCCCGAGCGACCAAAGGATGGCACGCTAATCTCAGCAGCCGTTACTACGGAACTGGGAGTGTTCACCTCCACATGCAAACTTGGATCTGTAACAGCTGCTGAGGTTAGCGTGCCATCCTGTGGTCGCCCAGGACTCTCGCCTGAGGAAGATGTACTTGTGACCCCTCCTCTCGTTTCCCCACCTGATTTTGTGATTATCACCCTGTCATTGATGTGCCTTTATTTCCTGTGGATTAATAAACCCCTTGGTGAAGTGACCAGTGTTTGCATTGTCCTGACAGTAACTTAAAAGGGGACTGGGAGTGCTCTCCTCCACGTGCACACTTGGACACGTATCGGCTGCTGAAGTTAGCTTGCCATCCTGTGGTTGCTCAGGCTTAACATTATTCATATTATTCCCTGCAGTTTCCCTGGTATCTTTAATGTCCCCCCCCCCCCTGCTATCGGGGCCTAGAAAGCAAGTGTTTGGGAGTTTCCACACAATAATTTCGGTAAATTTACCGCAGATGTCAATCACGGTTACAGTGAAATAAGTGTATGGAATGATTACCTTGACATAAACTAAGACACTTTTCATCTATGGCATAAGGTGCACAAATCAAAATTTAAGGAGTTACACGACAGAGAAGAGAGAAGATCGACCAATCTTTTTCTAAGTCCCTCACCTTGTTGATATCGCTAATGCAAACAAAATTATGACCAGTTAACTTATTCCTGCACTCTTAACTAGATCATGTATTACTACGCCTTTGTCAAAAAGAAATTTGGCTAATTATCAATGTATGCTTTTCCACATTTATGCTTTCAAAGGCCTTTATTAATGTTGTTATACCTCATTTACATGTTTTAAGATTTATTAGACTGATTTACAGGAATCAGTCTGAAGAACCTTCTGCATATGTGCATTTCCACGTTTCTGCCGCCAAGTTTGACAGGACGATTCCCGGGCATTCGGGGACAGAAAGCCGGTGAGGAATGTTTTGTTTTCGGTGTTGTGTCGATTCTAGGTTGTTCTTAAGACTATACAGCGTAAATGAAGAAGAAAAAGACCTTAATAACTATTGCAGTGTCATATCTAAGGCCATCAAGTACCCCCAATCCCCAAAAAAGTGATAAAAACGAAGTGTTCCACAATAGACTGACCGACAGACTGAAAGAAGTGAAGGAAAATTGACAGTGGTCTTTTGATATATAAAAGTATTTGGTTTATTGTTTAAATATGGATGTAGCTCTATTTTGCCGTACATACCGAGGTGAAGAGAATGTATTCTGAGGGATGTTGGGGGTGGAGCCCCCATCGACCCTCCCCAAAGAGCACGCCTAGTCACGGCACCGAAAAATTGTTAGGTTAGGTTGGGTTATGGGTCAGGACATTTTTTGGGGGGAGGGGGGGGGTTGAAGGTGTGAAATCCTGTAGATTTTACCAAAAGGTGGGTTGGATTCCTGTTGAATTTTGGCGCACCAGTGCGTAGACTTTCATAAGTAGCTGGCATGTCTATGGAGTTTCATTAGCTGATTTTTAGCGTTTTTTGTGCGGATTTTACACATTTCTGTTTGCCATTATTCTTATTTAAGCCTGTTTTACCCCATAACTTCCCTGATATACTTCATGCCCTCCCCTGCTATCAGGACTTAACACATCAAGATCATCAGCTGTGACTTCTACGGAAATGGCCATCAGATTCATTCTCGTCACATGAGAATAAATCTGATGATATAGATATTGCCAGGGAAGTCCCAAATGTCATAATTGAAAAAAATAACCATAATTTCTTTATAATAGGATATTAGGAAGAGGGAGGAATCCATCAATACGAGAACCATCGTGATCCCTCGGGGAACTATTTTTTAAGATCATTGGAACAGATTCATAAACAACACAGGTACAGCTGGTGCCACACCACCCACAAACAGCCAGAGTTCTTAATGTCTGTTATCTATAAGGTGGTATGACGTACTAATAAAAAGGGTGGGGTTGTCTCCCCTTGTCTAGGGAATAAACTGAAGGTAGGAGAGGTTGGGTTTCGGATTTGGGTTCGCATGATACCCTAGTTTGGGGACGGTGCGTCGCTACAACAAATACCTGCATTAGAGTAACTACAAATCATTTCACAAGACAAATCCAAAAGCAAAAGACAGCCTTCATCATTATAACATGACTGACTGACGTATTACGTTTCAGGCAGCCATATGACCTTGTATTTTCGGTTTCTTTGATCTTATGTTAATGTTTACATCTATAATGGGGAGTTCTATCAAACAATTAGAATTTGGTTCATATAGTTAGACTGGAGCTACAAATTTATATTTCAAATATGTGGTTTTACTAAAGTTGTAACAAATTTCCTATAAACAGTTAGAAAAATGTGCAAGACATCATCTTAATACCTCTATGTATCTCCATGTCGCCTTCTTCTTGGTATCTATGTAATTGCCGATGAGCTGAACCATCTTGATAAGAAGACAGAACACTCGTGGCAGAACGTACTATGAGAAAGTGGCAAGAGCGTCACTCTACGTACAACCCCTCTGATGTTTCGCGTTTGACTGAAGTGCGATC